TCCCGATCGTGTCGACGGCGAACTTCTGGAATAATTCACGCACCTCTATTTCATCCGAATTCCCTGTAAATACAAAAAAATTATTTCCTTGGTGTGCAAAAGACCCAAGTGGACCGCGTTAAGCGTGAGGGAACCAAGTCACATCAGCTAGACTCAGCTGAAGGCGAATTGCTCGTGCACATAAAACGTTTTCAGAGAGTCAAGTAGGTACATTGTATGTAATGAGCTAAAATCACAACTTTTTTTGCAACAACAATTGCTGCGGAGGCAGCTGAAGGCGAATTGGAAACAACCGTAAAATGCACGTTTTAGCTTGTAAATTAATACTTCACTAAAACAGAGTTGTATTTTATGGTCTTTTTGACACTGAACCAGAGATGTTAGTAGTGGCCTGTCATTCATTTTTTTCGAACATTCGGAATTTCAAACATTGATTTCCTCTCTCCGGACATGAAACCACGTATATTCCAATATTTTTCATTCTATTATCATCATAGTTTAGATGAGCAGTCTTATTAAACGCGGGGAAAATCGATCAAAAACAGTAGAAACCTTGCATTCACTATCAAAATTTCAATTTGCAATACCTCGGAAATTGGATCAGATTTTTATTGTTCGCGATTTTAAATCTGTATGTACCATAGAGTCACCCAATACAAATCGTTTCTGTGTACATTTTTGTCGCAATTTTTTTTTCTTTTGTGCTTTAAGACCACTGTGCTTCCCTCAAAATTTCATAAAAAGAATAGAGAATTTACAGGTGTCTGGAATTTGATTAATTTCGTGTTTAGGTGGAAACTACTGCGTAAACTGAACACGAGGATACCCTTTATTCATGAAATGAACAATTATTGGAGAATGTATGGCAAAATTGTCTAATCTGCTAAAATACGTGTGTTTAAATTGGAAATACCGCCAGATGACGTCACTAGGCGGTGCATTTTCTCACTTTTAAATCTATTTTTATACTATTTCCCATGTCACAAAAAAATTATAAAAAATACTGTGAAATCAGCTCTTGAAGCACTTTCAGATGAAGCAATAAAAAAGTTGCATGCAAATTCTCCATTGGTGCAGCCGAGAAAGAGGTATTCTGGAGAGCGTCAGGGACACTACAAAAATAGAACCTATGCATGGAAGTGCACGCGTCTATTCTGTACCTTGAACCTGAAGTGTTTGCGTTTGTATTTTCCTCTATGCATAGTAAGTCTGGACCCTCGACGTATCCACGCCACAAAGTGGTCATTATTTACTCGTCTCATCTATTGACCTTGATAGCTCCGAACTGCTCATCTGTGAGAAATGCAATCTCACGTCATCACATTAATAGATGAGGCGCATTCGTAAGTAGATTCCCGTTATAAATTCACGGGCAGAAGGAAACAATTTTTGTGAGGGACAGAAGGGTACCTCTTCAGGGGGGCTCTGAGGGGTACTAAAATTTAGCCCAATATGGGGGATGCTAGAGTACGTATATTGAGAGAGTATGGCCACTGGGCCCCATGGAGAGGCTTAGGACCCAAAAATGGCGGTGCGTTGTTTTGGTTTTTGTGGAAGGGAAGGGGGTCATTGCCAACTTTTGACGGTTTTCATCAACCGCACTTGCTGCCAACCTCACTACATCTAAGATAATTTTTCTCAAAAATCGCACACAATTAGCCTTAAAAATATGTAAAGAAGTCGCAATAGTGCATTTGGGTAAATTTCTCGTTACAATAAGCAAAGAAAACTAGGTACATCTTGAGTCATTTTGCATTACATTAATTTATGGCGTCCGCCATTTTTGGGTCCTAAGGGCTCCATTCAGCCTAAGATGGCTGAGCCAATCAGAGGTGGTAACACCAGTGGCCATACTCTCTCAATATAGGTACCTACTCTAGGTGATGCGTGGGACTCCATCAGCTCAAAAATTTAAAATTTAGGAGATCAGAAGGCTTATGATAATGCCCCCCCTCAAATCGTGTTTTGACTCACCCGTGGTTCGCTCCAAATACTTGTCCAGAAGTTTGGTGCACTCGTTCATGAGGATGGTCATGCGCCTGAGTTTGCCGGAAGTGAAGATGGGCGATATCTTGGAGCGGATGCTTTTCCACCGCTGACCCGTCAAATTGAACAGGTTATCCCTCTGGATGGGGTCGTTCATCACCATGAGCATGCCGTGGTCGGTGAAGTGAGAGAAGTCCTTGATCATAATACGCCGGATGAGCTCCGGATCCTAGACATCGTCAATTTTTTAAAAATGTTTCATCTTTTCCTAGCGCAGTGACTCATACACTGGCGTTTAAAAATTTGTAAACAACTGTTGAAATTTTCGAATTAGGTGACCTTTCTTCGGATTTTTCACGTGA